CTTTGTGTGTGTGGGGGGGGTGTCAATAAACCCTTTCACGGGGGTCACCCAATTCACAACAGTAGCAAAATTAGTTATGAAGTAGCAACAAAGATAATTTTATGGTTGGGGGAGCACCACCAGAGGAACTATATTAAAGGGTTGTGGCATTAGGAAGGTGGAGAGCCACCGCCCTGAGAGTTCAAAGTGAAATGACCTGTCCAGTTCTTACTCATGCATTGTGACAAAGTGAGGACACATTCTGAGTCTGAACTGCCTGGCAGACCCAGTGTAACAGCTCTGAGTCTCTAACACACAGGCTTGCACTGTGACTTCTGTAACATCTTAGGACTTAGGAAATGACTTCCTTGAACATACTGGGAGAAAAACCATAGATCATCAGAGAACCACTAAAAACCCCTCCTCTTTCACAGTTGTCCCCTCTAAGTAAAGAAGATGCTGGAGAATATGTGTGCCAGGCATCCAACTCCCAAGGACAGGCTTCAGCCTCGGCCAAAATTATGGTGGTGGATTCCTTGCAAGAAATACCGGGGGAAAGAGGTACGTCATAAATCTCTCAGCCATTTGAAAACTGACGACTGATGCTCTCGCTTAGTCCAGAGCCAAACCAGGTCTGGATGGACCAGAGAAGGTATTAACTAGCGGCAGTCATGTTCGCAGCCCATGGCGTTAAGGGCACACTGGGGCAGCACTTGGCTCTGAGAGAACGCAATGCCATCCTGATGACTCAGGTGCTTCCAACGACCTGCACACACCAGATTCAAAACTCAAACTTGACTGGAATCAATTATACTTCCCTCACTTTCCATCTCTCTGGGACATTCTTCCTCTGTGTTGTGCCTACTACACTAAATTCCATTTAAGAGGAAATGATCGTGGGCAGGTCTGGTCCTCCGATCTGAGCTTTGTACGAGGGGTGGAGTAGGGAGGGGGTGGGAAGAGTATCCTGGCAGGTACCCAGTGGCTCCGCCTTCACGTCACTGATGGAGAGGCTTGCTGGTAGGCTCCCAGCACCACCACATCCCAGAACGACTGCTTTGGAGTCAGACGGGTCTATGAAGACTCCGTCTGAATTGGCTTTCACTTAACCCAGAAAGCAGCAGCAGTGTTCGGATGGCTGAGCTGTGGTATGAAAGGAAATGGGAAGTACAAATGTGTTTAAAAGCAAGAGACGAAACCAGCAAGGGAGCGCAGCAACGACGAGCCAAGGCAGGTCTGTCTTGAATGAGCAGGTTGACACTAGAGCATCACTTGGCCTCTCAGGATGGCAACACACTTGTTTGTAAACATGGTCTTCTACTCGTTTCACACGACAAAACTGAGAAAGCCAGAAACCTGGCCGAGAAGGAAAATGCAGATACTGCCCACTTAGAGGGAGCAGGGGAAAATGGTCTGGCAGCGCCCTGCTGAATGCAGGCAGTAGACAGGGACGACGTGGAAAAGCACAGCAGTGTGCATGGGGCTTTGGGTCCCACACGTTGCCCTGTGCTGTGACGTCGTCCCTACACATGCACACCAGCACCGCAAGATGCAGACATCACTCTGGCCTGCCACTTCTACAATGACTCATCTCCTCTTTAACAGCTTCCTTTGTTTGGAAATGCAAAATTATCTCAAACTTACGGCGCTGACCATGTCCACAGAAGCAACTCAGTTTTCTCTTTTTTCTTTTTGTGAACAGGTGAAGACGCTAATGCATAGCCTGCAAGAATGTGTCTGTCTGTCTGCGTCGCTGCAAGCAGCCATGGAGAACTACAGCCCCTGTTCTTGTCTAATCACATTTCTTTTAACCCAGTTCACCAGCACTTTCGTTATATTCACTGATTTTACATAGAAAATTACCAAGTAAAGAGAACACTCGAAGACTATCTACAAAAATGTATTGTTTATTTACAAACCAAAGGGAGACAAGCATGCATACAGTACTACAAATAAAATGCTCTTCCACACAGTACAACATGTGCACCGTGGTTTTCTTTTGCTTTAAAACAAGGCATCCGAGAAACGAGGCATGAAAAATATTTACAAGTAGTCATCTTGCTGAGGGTTTTTAAAAGCTAAACGCTCATCATGCGAGGTGCAATGCTCATCGACATAAGTTCCTGAAACAGAAGTTTGCACGCATAGGGCATTCGCACCAAGGAAATCTGAAAAGAAAGAGCAGATAGTAGTTAACAGAGTGACCCCGAAGTGAGCACACTGCAGGGCTCAGAGACAGGCCATGGATCGGGTCTACGGGGGTGGGTACACTGGGGGCTCCCACCACCATCACATCCTAAAACGACTGCTTCAGCCATTGTCCTCAGTTAAACTTTGTTAGATCAACTGTTTAAAAATCCTTGTAAACGTATTATTGTTCCAGTAGATGAAACACACCCCACTTTCATGCCCTCCCCCCAAATCGCTGCCAATGAGTCAATTCCAGTTCATTAAGAACCCTATAAAAGAACTCACTGTCACTGAATTGATTGCAACTCACAGTGACCACTATAAGTCAGGGTACAACTCCTCTTAAATCTTCACGGGCGCAGAAAACCTCATCTTTCTCCCATTGAGCTGCTGGTGGTTTTGAACCCCGCTACATCCACCAGAGCGCCCAGAGGCCCTTACAGAGCACAGGAGAGTGGCCCCTGAGGCTCCCAGGGCTGTCATCTTCACAGAAGCAGGCGACCACGCCTGTCTTCTGCAGAGTGGTTGGGGATTCCAACAGCCAACCCTGCGGTCGGCAGTCAAGCATATAACTGCACCACACAAGGCACTCGACTCTCTACAGGGTTGCTCCAAGTCAGAATCACAGAGGTCACAGAGGACGAGGTCACCACCCTCCACCAATTTGTTGGGGTTTTTTTTACAAATCAAGTTTAGTTTTTTCATCTTGTTCCTCGTGAAATTAAGAATCTTTCAGAGGTATGCTCTCAAAGTTGCGAAAATGCCATGTTTGACCGAACCAACCCCCATTTTCCAAAGTGGGTGATATAGAATGCTGGGGGCACGGAACGAACGGGGGTGGGGGGTGGGGGGATGGCCCGGGGGCTGCAAGGTGGCTACCGACACTTTATCCTGGATTACGGGCTACCGTGCAGAAGGTTTCCACTTGGGGGGAGGGGGGGTTGAGAAACTTTCTTTCTTTCTGAAGAGGAGGCAAAAAAAAGTTGGGAACTTCCAACCTAGACTGGTCAGGCCAAGAGCGCCAAGCCCGCAGCAAGTCTCAACTGCCGGTCAAGGCCACACCCACCTGGGTCTTGTTGCGGCAGCCCCGGCACTCGTAGGTGTGGGTCCGGGTGTTGGCAATGGCCATGATCCCACACAGATTGCAAACATGGACCTGATACGGGTCTGAGGCCTCGAACAGCCGCTCTCTTAGGAACTGGGCTGCTCCGTGGGCAATCTGACAGTCTCGCTCCATTTCTCCAAACCGCAGCCCACCATCGCTGTGAAGGACAAAAAGTAAAGCCGAGAATGTTTTGTGCTTCTTCTCTATTATAAGTTATAAGCATTACCTACACTAGTGACACGGGCGGGCGAGATCACACTGGTCCAGGAGAACCAGGCTCTAGTTCTTATGCCCTGCCGTTCGCGCTAAGTGGAGGAAAGAAGCTTTACAATGAGTTGACAGGTTAGAAGAGCCTCAAATGAAACAGGTGCATCACAATCTCGGGGGTGACACGTAATTTTCCTCATGAAATACAATGAAGGACAGAGTATGTGCACTGAAGTAGGGTGGGTGCCATAAAAAAAAGGACTTCTTAATACTAAACTGGTCACCTTTCGATACAATGTTTGACTTTAAAACGTAACTGACAGACCACCTATGGCACACCTGGCTGACTTGACAACAAACAAACTACGCCCCTTACTCCAAAGAAGACAATTTAAAGTCTTCCTTGACAATGATACAATGTTGTACTTTCAGGATTTTTGAAGACTTTTATTTGCCATCATGGCAGCTTGATAGCTGTTCCGGAATCATGGCACTGGTGGTCATGCCAACAAATGTGCCCCGCCCCCCCTTTTTGGTATAATGAAATATGTGAACATTTGAAAATCTGTACCTCAATTAAAGGAACAAAAGCTTTCTAAATGGCCAATTAAGGTACTATAAAGTGACTGCGGTAGATAGCTATTCAAAGTGCTAGACAGACCAGTGAATATGAATACAAACAAGTACCAAAAGTTCAAAAACTTTAATAAGTACAAAAATATCCCATATTATAAACTAACCTTTAAAAAGCTAACACTTGTCAAAGTTTTTGTGAAGCCTCAACGAATATCCACAATTATCTGAAAAGGTTATTTATTCCTCCCTTATCCAACCAGGTCAGATTTTCCTCATGTACATCAGCCAAAATAATACACATGTATGGAATGAATGCAGAAGCAGATAGAAGAATCAAGACATAGTTTAGTGAGCCAACTCATTAAAGAGATTCACAAAAATGTAAACCAAGGCTATTCCCTTCTTAAATATTTACTTGAACATATTTCCCATTAGAAATATTGTTTAAGATATAATAGGTTTATAGTGTATTTCTTAGTACTCAATTTGTTTTAGTTTTTAATATAAATGCTAATAGGTATAACTTATATAAACAAAAGTTCCTTGGGAGGCCTAGGATCAAAATATTTGAGAACCTCTCCCACTGAAATATTTACAGAAGAAATACGATGAAGCTAGGGAGTGCTGCCGGGGGAAGATGGGTAAAATAGCAGTTGTCACAGGTTAATGATGATGGGAGTGAGAGGTGACTATGCCCTCCTATTTCCATGGTCTACTTTCTCCATAATAAAAGACTGGCTGATGGTGATGGCAACTCTTACCGAGACCGGCCCTCCATGGGCTGCCGATTGAGGATCTGAATAGGCCCTCTGGCACGAGAATGAATCTTATCATCCACCATATGCTTCAGACGCTGGTAGTAAGTGGGGCCGATGAAAATCTGTGATGTGATCTTTCGGCCAGTGAACCCATTGTACAGGACCTGGAACAAACAGAGACTGTCAAGGACAAGCTTAAAAAAAACAAGTCCTAAGAATAAATATATGCACATACTGTATGAGGCCCTCCATATAAAACTCAAAACAGGCCAAAATAGCCTACAGTTAGAAGCCAACGCAGTGGCTGCGTAGAAAGAGACGGTCATACGGAGCTAGGGGCACGTGAACAGACTCCGGCCCAGAGAGGGCAGGTCACTGTTTCCCGTCACAAGTATGTCCACTTTGTGAAAAGTCATCAAGCAACGCACTCATGATTTGTACACATAGTTCATACTTCCATGAAAGGCTTAAAGTGTTTTTAAAAATGGAAGTACAGGCAGACCTAAAAAATGCAAGTACCAAATGACTGAGTGGCAGATACCTCGTTTCCTCGGAGATGGTAGCCATACTCAGATAAAAGGTTGGAAATCTTCTGCACGTTAACCGCATCATTAAAGGGAGTGGCGTCACCAATCTCACCCTTGTTCGCTGAGACCTTTGAAAAACAAAGTTTAAATACATTTTGTCTCCACTTAAATTACACATCAATAAAAGGGCATTCAGTGAAAAATAAATAATACAAGGGAGGATTTTAAACTTGAAGTCCATGTATGGAAAGCTGTTGTTATCAAAAGGTCTATTTAACATCTCGCACAAACGATTTAAAGCAAACTAATCAGCTTAAAAGGAAAAATAACTCCATTAAAGCATTTTTAAATACAAAGCTGTCCATAGGGCTGGGCACAAACAGTTAAGTGTCCCAAATATTTCAACAATTTTAAGAAAAGTAACATTTTAACACCCTACATCCATAGTGGCTTACACATTCAACAGCTAACTGCAGTTCAAAACCACCAGGCTGCTCCTCGGGACAAAGATGATGCTTTCCAGTGAAGAGTTAAATAGTCTTGGAAACCCAAAGGGGCAGCCGTCCCCTGCCCTACAGGGGCTCTATGAGTGGGGATTGACTCAGTGCCAGCGAGTTTGTGTCTAATGCCAAGCCATCCATGTTTTAGATTGCAAATATTACACACAAAAACAGGAAACCTCCCCACTTAAGGTACACACATAGTTGGTGATATAAATATAAGTTAATAAAGTTCATGCTGAACTATCAATAAATTCTCCATTAATAGGAAAGGTCCAGTCAAATGGATAACTGTGTATGTATATACCGATTAGATGTAATAATTTTTTTTTAAATTTGTGACTTAGCCATAACTTTGCAAATTTCTAAAATAAATAAGCATAATTGGGACTATCGGCTAAGGAGAAAATAAATAAAAAGTGCACTTTTTCCAAAGGCCCTTGACTTGAGAATGAGAGAAATCACCCGCCATCATTTTTTAAGAAACATCACTTTGGAGCCCATATATTTTTAATGGGAAATGTCTTACCTTGCCTTGAAGACATTCGATCAAGTGACCGATGGTCATCCGAGAGGGGATGGCATGGGGATTGATGATGATATCGGGGGTGATGCCTTCACAGGTAAACGGCATATCCTGTAAGGAAAGTGCACAAGAGACTTCGGGAAACTTCACTGACACTTAGCTATGACACAAAGAAACCTGAACTGATCCCACAAAAAACTTGTGCATGTTCTACATCATGGTACGTCTGTCTCATGCTTATCAAATGCTAAAATTAAGAGTCAAGTCCTTGGATCTTAATTAAATTAAAATTAAACAAATTTTAATTTAATAAAACACTGAAAAAGTGTGGGGTAGAGATGAAGGAGGCAAGAAGACACCTACCTCTTGTCTATACTGAATACCACAAGTACCCTTTTGACCATGTCGACTAGCAAACTTGTCTCCGATTTGTGGAATTCTAACAGAGCGTACCTGAAGTCACAGGAAAATGGGTCAGCCGAAGGGAGGTGGTTTACTTTCTGTGAATAGCGATGCGTACAAAGCGGTACTCACCCTTATTTTACAGAATTTATACCCTTCCTGGTTGAACGTCACCATCACCTGGTCCACAATGCCCGTCTCACTCGTTCTCAGGAAGGTGCTGCAGTCCCGCTTGGTGTAGCGCCTATTGGTGCTCTCCAACTCGTCTTCATTTTCAGGCAAGGTGACAGTTTTGCCTATGATGACATCATCTCCTGAGACACGAACCCCAGGAGCGATCAGGCCGTCGTCATCGAGCTTGTCATAAATGGCATGCCTCATACCTGCACAAAACAGACGTGGAGCTTGCTGAAGCAGCATTACCAGGGAAAAAGATTCAAAGCCTTGATCATTCATCAGTACTGAGTCAGAGAAAAGCCACAGGAATCTCTCAACACCAGAAACTGTGTTTGGGAATAATGTAATTCTCGCATTCTGAGTATTACAAACTACTCTGAACTCCGTAATACCAGGGTCTATAAAGAAAAAGCACCCAGGACTAAGTATTAGATATTGGAGTTCTCCTAGGACAGACACTCTTGGATGATTTTGGCTAAGTGTGCTACACCAGCTTCTGATCTCTATAGTATATGAAAAAGAAAACAAAATGTCTGCCCTCCAAACACATACTCTCAGAGAACGTTCGTATTTCACGTAATAGTCAATGAACAGCAATTCATTACTACACACTACCACCAACCAGAAATGGCATTAACAGGAAAATGCCTTAAGGAAAAGAACACGTTTGATTTCATGCAATGATATTTCCCTTTCCCTAAGAGTTCTAGCAGATGCCCCTTTCTCTAAAACAACTTACCACTCCTGCTGAATATATAGTTAAGTGTTTTTAAAAATAATTAACTAGAAAATTTTAAAGGATGTGCTTTCCACAAGAAAATCAAATATTGTAATGCAACAAATATTAGAGTTAAACCACAGAGTTAAGGAGGCAAATTACAGAGAGCAGTTCCATACAAGTGTATAAACTAAGGGACACAGTACAAGTGAGAGTGAGGCTCTGGGGCGTGACCACGAAGTTACGGACGCTCTCTGACTTCCTAGATCTCCCACTCAGTGAAGGACGTACCGGGAAGACAGGTCTAATCCACAGCAAAACTCAAACTCACCACCATCGACTCTATGACAATTCTACAGCAAGTCACTCCTACATGCAGATACTTTCAGCAAATGTCCTCCCATGTTTCCTTGAATACAAGCTCTTCAGAACGACCTAGGAGCCTTGGCGGAGCAGCACTTAAGCACTCAGTAAGTGGCTTAACCCCACCAGGCCCTCCATTTGTTGGAGAAAGATGAGGCAGTCGCTCTGTAAGGCTGCAACCGAGAAGCCCACAGGGGCAGATCTACTCTGTCCTAGAAGGTCACTCTGAGTCACAATCGACTCAATGGCAGTGGTTTCCTTTTGTTAAGAATGACATAAAAATGTATCACAGCATGGCAAAAAAAGGTAACAAAACCCAGCAAGATTCATTCGGAAGGCCATTCAAAGTCATCTTCGATGTCCACAATTTCAATGTCAGCTTAACTTACCCTGGCATGTTTCACGTGTGGGCTTCTCAAAAACTTCTTCTTGGTCAAATCCTTTTTTGGACTCTTGTTCCTTGTAAGACCGATAGAAAACAGACCTACAAACAAATGGTTCTGAAGGTTAATTTCGGTTTTCCTTTACTAAAAAGGCTTAGAATGTAGCCATGTTCATTTCATTGCTATTTGGGAAGCACTTTAAGCCATGAAATTGAGACAAGGCTAACATTAAGGATCTAACTTAAACGCCCAGCGCTATCACACCAGCCACAGGTTAGTGTTTGCCCCCTAAACTGACACCTCCGGAGTCCCCTAATCCCATTTACAACCACCACAGGTGTGCCTGCATTGTCCATTGCGGGGCTGGAGCTATAAAGCTGTAAGGTCTAGATGCAGCCCTTCTTCTAAATCCCCGATTTTTGAAATTAATCTTCATATGCCAATGATTTGAGATCAATCTGTTTGAAATTAGCACACTAAAATGGAAACATATTACAGAAGGAAAAAAAGAATAAAGAAAACTAACTTTAAAAGTGTTTCTGAGAGGATGGGTGTAATTTTATTCTCTAGATGCTTTTATGTTACTTAAGGGCAAACATTTAGAAAGCAGGGTTGGCAGTGAGCAGGAACCAACTCTAGGCAAGCTCACAACAACGGATGCAAGCACATTTGCTCACAATCGTTTGAAAAGGCTCCTGCGTTCGCATCCGAGAAGCCCTGACAGACGAGAAGCCGGGTCCTCAGTGGTCTGTGGCCGGGGATGCCCCTGCCTTCTGAGCATCACCCGCGCCGTCTGGTCACCGGAACGTTTCAGGAAGGGAGGCAGAAGAGCTAACATGCTATCTGCTGTTCAAGCACCATGCTGTCCAGTCTGACCTTCAGAACCACCGAAGAGCTTGGACACATACAAGTCAAGCTGATCCTGATTTGTAAAGGTCCTGTCTCCAATGAGTCCATGCTTTGCGACTGACCTGAAAAAGCCTCGGTCAACAGCCGAACGGTTCATGATCACTGAGTCTTCCTGGTTGTACCCTGTGTATGAGGCGATGGCCACAATAGAGTTGATACCTGCAGGGCATGTAAGAGCACACACTGAAATGTCAGCTGGAACACAAAGAAAACTGCCCCCTTTAAAATAAAGGTCATCTGATCCTGTGTGCCGTGGCTATGTGGACACTGTATTACGGTCACTGCCTACCCCTCCATCCAGAGCCATCTGTGGAGGCCATTACTCTGCTGGCTAAACACTTCATACCAGCAAATCCCAAGATTACTCATTCCCAATTGCCCATTCTTGTAAACAGTGACAGTAGGTTACATGCTGGACTGCTAACCACAGGGTCAGCATATGAAGCGACCAGCCTTTGGGAGGGAAAGGATGGGGCTTTCTGCTCCCATAAAGATGTATAGCCTCGGAAATTATCAGGGAGGTTCTAATACCCTGTCCTGTGGGGTCACCCTAAGTCACGATCAATGGCACAATCGACATGCAAGTCATCTCACACTGACGAAGTGCTTCCCCAAACCAAGTTTCCTAATCCCCACCGCAGCCCTGTGCCCTAACAGGGTAGAAAACATCACCAGTTGCATAAATCAGAAAGAACAATCTATCCACAATCTCAATGTCACGAAGCAAAGGGACCAGACCCCAGCTCCTCCATCTCCTGCTTCCGGCGGGGCCTTAGGTTTGACCCTGGCACTGGCCTGTACCCTTCCCCGCCCAGCTCCGATTCCAGGAGGTAATTCTCTGCAACCCATAACCCTTATGCCCTGGCCCGTTCCCTCAAGGAGCTGTGAAGCAAACTACTTGATGCACCGGGTTTTCACTGCCTGATCTTTGACTACCTCCCACTAAACGAAGAATGCCTGAGTCCACATTTGGGACGAGAGAAAACGTGAGAAAGCACTTAAGAGAATGAGGAGCAATTTGGCATCATCCTGATAGCGCTCCCACCAACCAACGGGGGCATCAAAGCAAAGGGAATGGTGGTGCTGGAAAACAATGCTCAAGAGTAAAACCAAGGGCTAACAAATGCTAAGTCCACATCAAACAAACAAGTACTACAGGTCCCTAGGGGTCTGAGCGGTTTCTGCTCCGTCGCTATATCGTAAAGGCTGGTGATCCCAGCCCACCCAGTGGCCCCACGGAAGAAAAGGCCTGGCAATCTGCTTTCCTTAAGAGCTGGACGACAGCTGTCCTCTGTAACACAGGGTCACCACGAGTCGGAGCAGACGCACCAGTAAGCAGCATCAAACAGAAGAACAAAAGACTACAAAGTAGAAACCTGCAGACACCAGAAAACGGACAGCATGTGCCCCTTCCCATGATGCCTTCACGGAGCTCACGGCATTGTGCGCGAATACTGCCAACCACCATGAGCAAAGAACCAAACAAGCCAAGCTCACTGCCACCCAGTCGATGCCGACTCAGAGAGATCCCACAGGACAGATAGAACTGCCCTTGTGAGTTTCCGAGACTACGTCTTTACAGGAGTACAAAGCCTCATCTTTCTCCAGAGCCACTGGTGGCTTCCTAACTGCTGGCCTTGTGAACTGTAGCCCAATGCGTAACCACTACACCACCAGGGCTGCCTGAGCAAGTAGCAGTCAAATCCAGGTCAAGAGACAACGTATAAAGTAACTAGGACCTGAACATTTCAAAACTGCCAAGACCAGGAAGAAGGAAGGATTAAGGAACTGCTCGTGACTGAAGTAGACTATCAAGACATGGGGCTAAACGGAACTCATGATTCTGGGTTCAATTCCAGACCCATAAGACATTATAGAGCTAAGTGACAATATCTGAATTGGGGATTAGATTAGTAACTATGTTAATCTCCTAAATGTGATGGCTGTACTGTGAAGAATGTTTTCGTTTCTAGGAAACAGCCAAAAACGTGGCTGCTTCGTGTTTGCACCTTCCCCTCGAATGCACTGTCCAGGAAGGGGAGAGGGGATAAAGCAAATATTGCAAAACTAGGGAACCTAGGTGAACAGCTCTGTCCTAGGATTTCCTCTACATTTGGGAAATTCTCTCAAAATAAAAAGGGTATTTTGTTTTACCTTGGGCCTTTTTCCTCCTTCATATAACCTGTGTCAGGCATGAAGAAAGAACATGCAGCCCTCGCCACCACGCCAGCACCACCTCTCCTCAGTCCCATCTCAACTCAAACCTCACTGCCAGCGAGTCCGCTCACAGCCACCCTGGAAGGCCGCCCACAACTGCTCCAGTAGGCTCCCGAGACTGTACTTCTCTCCGGGAGTAGAAAGCCTCTTCTTTCTCCCTTGCAGCAGCTGGCGGTTTCTAACTGCTGACCTTGTGGTTACAAACCCAATATGTAACCACTATGCCTCCAGGGGATAAACATTTTATTTCCAATCCAATACTTTCCCGGCATTTCTTCTTAAGCCTTAAAAAACATTATCTAAATGTTACAGAAAACCCTGCACAGCAAGCACAATTCAAAGATAAGAGCATAAAAATGTCGCTGACTTAACAGCCTTTGTTATCCTTGACAGGAGTAGCCTCTTCAAAAGTAAGTGAACTAAATCTATGAGAATCTGCTACCAGAATGTGGGGGCCCCTGTCACAGTAAACAATTTAAAGCAGTAGCATACCAGGCAAACATTCTAAAAGGGGCTGATCAAAGCCAGAATTATACTAACAATACAAGACGTTATGAAGGATCCAAAAGACTCCGCTATGGCCTGTAATATTCAACACTCAGTCCCTTCCCCCTTCTCTGCACCATCTTACCTACTGACCGGTCTACACGCCTGCCTGTCCTACCAGCCACTTTGCACACCCCTTCTTCTGACTCCCTTTTCGGGGAGGCCTTAGCAATGGTGCCTATGTTGCAGTCTGTCTCTGATCCTTTTCTCACGCCCAATTCTCCCACAGCAACTACATAATAATCTCTAGTTATTCACATTAACTTCATACCTATAGACATCGCCTTCTTCCAAACCACGTTTCAACTCACTGCTGGGAGAACACTTCTTAGCAGTCACGGCCACAACTCAAAATCAGCATGTCCCAAACTGAACTTCCTCTCTGCCCACTACAACTTACGATGCACTCCTCTCTCTTCAGTCACCCACGCCGCAAACCCCAGGGGCACTTGGCTTTCCCCCTTCCTTCTCTGGATGATTACACATGCAAGCAGTCACCAAGTTCTAGCCCTCACCCTCGTGTCAACAGCAGCACCTCCCCTCTCCTCACCGGCTGGCTGCCATCGAGTCAGTTCTGACTACAGCGACTCTCGACAAGAGAGCAACCCCCGCCTGTGCCATCCTCTCCTCTGCTGAGTGCAAACTCACTGTTTCAACCACACTCTCTCCGGAGGGTCCTCCTCTTTTTCTCTGACTGGGCCCTCTGTTACCCAACGTGCTGTCCTTCCCCAGGCACTGGCCTTTGGATAGTGTGTCTAGAGAACACCAGCTGGTCCCCCCACCCCCACTTCGAAGGAGCACTCCACTCCGGCTGTACTTCCGAGGTCGAATTATGCTTCAGTGAACTGCTGAGACTCCAGGATTTTGTCTACTTTTGTTCATTAACTTTGTCCTTTTATTAAACTTCATGATAAATTAACTTGTCTTTGCTGTCTCCCTTTATAAGTTAGGAGTTAATGTGACCTTTATTGAAATGATCTAAGTAAAGGGGAATATTAAATATGATCAAAGGAAAATAAATGAGTACAGATTTTTATCATTTAATTATAATTTGTTTGTTTTAGTAACCGTATGATTTGTTTTCATTTCCTCAGCAGTAAAAAATAAAGCAAATCATTAGCTTGAAACTCCAGGCCAGAGAACAGGAATATTAAAGAGTAACTAGACCATAACTTGTTCTTTGAGTCCCAGAAAAAAGCAAGATATATTGACCACTGTGCTGTCACCGGGAGAAAGACAGGGCTTTCTACTCCAGTTAGTCTTGGAAACCCACAGGGCAGTTCTACCCTGTCCTATAGGGTCACCATGAGTCAACATCAACTCAATTGGAGTGAGATTGGTACTGTCACCAGTAAGCATGAGGATGCCAACCAAGGAGCAAAAACAGCACAGGAAGAAAAAATGGCAAACCCGACCAACCTAGTTACTATAGTGATACTTAGTAAGTGACACCCTGCAACTCAGTTACAAGATAACTAATGATCCTTCTCCACACCTCTCTCCTTAATTAAATGTATAAAAATCACCCCCCTTCTTTATCCAAGGAGACAGAGCAAGCTACCTCCTTTGCATTATCAATCTTGCCAAAAGCCTGTCTCTGAACATTCTAGTTTTACTTTAGCTCCTGTTTGGGGAGCAACGTTTCTTCTACAATGTCTGTTCTTCTGGGAACCCATGGGTATAGTCATTAGTCTTTGGCCAAACCCTAACTCAAAGGCACGAGTTCAGCTGCAGCTTTCCTTACTGTCTAGCTTCCACACGTGAGGAGACTGAATATGCCACGGAGGAATGGATCAGGCACATCTCACTCCTTAAAGTGACGTCTTTGCTCTCTAGCACTTTAAAGAGGTCTTGTGCCGATTTGGCCAATGCCATACAGCTCATGATTTTCCTAGCGCTGCTTCTCTGGACTTTATGAATCCAAGTAAAATTAAATTCCTGACTTCAACCTTCTATTCACTGATTATGCTGCTACTGCTTTCTGGTCCAGCTGTGACTTTGGTTTTCTTACTTTGCATCACACTCCATACTGAACACCACATTCTTTGCTCTTCACCCATTAAGGGCCTCAAATCCTCCTGGCTTTCAGCAAACAAGGTTGTGTCACCTACACATGGCAGGTGGTTAAATACCATAGTGAATGATGGGAGGAGTGCGGAGTGGAGACCCAAAGCCCATTAGTAGGCCACTGGAGAGCCCCTTGCAGAGGGGTCTTGGGGAGGAGACGAGCCAGTCAGGGAGCGACGTAGCAACGATGAAAAATACAACTTTCCTCTAGTTCCTAAATGTTTCCACCCCGCCCCCACTATCAAGTCTTGCAAGTCTGGCTAGCACAGAGGATGTACACTGGTACAGATAGGAACTGGAAACACAGGGAATCCAGGGAGGATGATCCCTACAGGACCAGCGGTGTGAGTGGCGATACTGGGAGGGTAGAGGGAGAGTGGGTAGGCGAGGGAACCAATTACAAGGAACTATATGTGACCTCCTCCCTGGGGGACGGACAACAGAAAAGTGGGTGAAGGGAGACGTCGGACAGGGCAAGATATGACAAAATAATAATTTATAAATTATCAAGGGCTCATGAGGGAGGGGGGAGCGGGGAGGGAGAGAGGGAGGGAAAAAATGAGGAACTAATGCCAGGGGCTTAAGTGGAGAGGAAATGTTCTGAGAATGATGAGGGCAATGAATGTACAAATGCACTTTACACAACTGATGTATGTATGGATTGTGATGAGTTATATGAGCCTCTAATAAAATGATTTAAAAAAAAATCCTGATGCCATGTTGCTCTTTATAGAGTAGAGCTTTCTCAGATTAATTGCTCAGCACATAGATTACTTTCTGATAGTCAACGGGAGGATTAAATACATATTCTGTGACCTGGGACGTTAAGACTATTGAAATAAAAATCTATATGCTGAGTGAGGTATAAATACATATTCAAAACAAACCTCTTACATGGGACAGTGGAAGACGAAAAAATAATAATTTATAAATTATCAAGAGTTCATGAGGGAGGGAGGGAGAGAGGGTGGATGGGCGAGAGGGGGGAATGAAGAGCTGATACCAAGGGCTCAAGCAGAATGAAAATGTTTTGAGAATGATGATGTCAACAAATGTACAATGTGCTTGACACAATGAATGTATGTATGGATGGTGATAGGAGCTGTACAAGCCCCCAATAAAATGATTTAAAGCAAAAAAAACCCTCCAAATTACCTCCATCTAGTCTGCCCCAGTAAGAGCTCTGGTAGTGTAGTGGTTACACCTTGAGCTGCAATCTGCATGGTCAGCAGTTCAAAACCACCAGCAGCTCTTCAGGAGAAAAGACTAGGCTTTCTACTCCAATAAACAGTTGCAGTCTCGGAAACCCACAGGGGTCACTATGAGTCAGCACTGACGCGATGGCAGTGAATTTGGCTTTAATCTGCCCCAGCAGTAGGTGAGTACCCACCATTTCGTGAACAGATGTAATTATTATGTGGTGTGTTGTAAAATTTGACCCGACACGGTAGAGCCAGGCAAACACGAGAGGCCTGAAGGGCCAGGAGGTGGAGAAATCAGGAAGGTGAAGAAAATAAGAGCCTAGGAAGCAGAGCTGACCCAATCCCAAAGGATAACCCATAAGGTCTGTGGTCTCAAAAGGTGGTGCTACAGCCTCTTAGTTTCCAGGAGTTAGAACTCGGTTCCAAAGTGTAGGTGGATCACCAGGCACAAGAGTCAAGGGGTGGAACCAGTGGAGGGGTCTGAGGGGCCGGCTCCAATCCCAACTACTATGTGGACACCTGCCCCTCCCCCCAGAAGAATTTATTTCATAGGACGGCATTGAAGCTGCAGCTCCGGGATAGGGACATATCTGATCGGAGCACAAGGGTGCAGATGAAGGGGGAGGAAGAGAGAGTGGAGTGCATTCTGGCCCAGCAGGCCTGGAGGATGATGTTCCTGATGGCCAGCCCCACTATGAGACATGACGTCCCTCACTGACCCACAGCCCTACAGGGGACAATACCGGAGACACAGTGTGGGAATTGCGCCCGATCTGATCCCGCCACACCAAGGCAAAAACACTAAGGGGGTGCAACAGAACAGAGCAGCGAGGTCCCCAGAGAATATGCTGAAGGTGGACTTTGGGGCCAGGGTGTGGTGCCCCAACAGACTGGACTGGAAAACACTCCTAAAGGCCAATAAACAGCCCTTGAACTAACCACAAGTTTTTCTTTCTTGTTGTGTTTTGTTTTGTTTTTTTGTCATTGATTTGTTGTTGTTGTTTTGTTGTATATTGTTGCTTGGTTTTTCTCTGTCTTGCTTTTGTGCATGTTATTATCTCCGCAGGTCTGACTAAATAAGATAGGCTGGATGAACAATCTGGAGGAGAAAACATCGGGACCGAAAGTTTCGGGGGGACATGGGAGAGGGGGAGGTGTGGGGAAAGGTAGTGGTGTTAACAAACCCAGGGACAAGGGAAGAACAACTAATCCAAATTGGTGGTGAGGAAGGTATAGGAGGCCTGGTAGGGCAGGATCAAGGGTAACGTAACCAAGAGGAATTACTGAAACCCATATAGACTGAGCATGATAGTGGGACAAGAGGGAAGGGGAAATAAAGGAAAGAGCTAGGAGGCAAAGGGCATTTATAGAGGTCTAAATAAAGGTATATACAGTACATATGCAAATATATTTATATATGAGGCTGGGGAAATAGATCTCTGTGCCTATATTTATAGGTCTAGTATTAAGGTGGCAAAAGGACATTGGGCCTCCACTCAAGTACTCCCTCAATGCAAGAATACTTTCTTCTATTAAACTGGCATTCTGTGATGTTCACCTTCCCGACACAACCGCTGAAGACAAAGCAGTGAATAAGCAAATGTGGTGAAGAAAGATGACAGTGTCCAGCTATCAAAAGATATAGTGTCTGGGGTCTTTAAGGCTTGAAGTTAAACAAGCAGCCATCTAGCAAGAAAGCAACAAAGCCCACATGGAAAAAGCACACAACCCGTGTGATCACGAGTTGTCAAAGGGATCAAGTATCAGGCATCAATGACCTAGAACATACATCCATTTTGAAGTGAATGAGGGAGGTTACAATGGAGACCTCCAAAGCCCATCTGTAGACAATTGGACATCCCCTCACACAAGGGCCACAAGTAAGGGATGAGCCAGCCAGGGTACACCGATGTACAGCACCAACGAAAACACAACATTTCTCTGGCTCTTTAATGCTTCCTTATCCCCCCTCCCCGCCACCACTATCATGACCCCAGTTCTATCTTATAAATCTGACTAGATCAGAGCATGCACACTGGTACAGATAAAAGCTCTCAACACACAGAATGCAGGAAAGATAAACCCCTGAGGCCCAATAATGAGAGTAGCAATACCATGAGGATAAGGGAAAGGTGGGGGGAGGGGGGAAAGTCCACAGCAATGATCAACGTACCATCCACCACCACCACCCCTCAGAGGGGCAAACAATAGAAACGTGGGTGAAGGGAAACAGTAGATGGGTGTAAAACTATGAAAACTAAAATAATTTATAAGTTATCAAGGGTTCACAAAGATGGGAGGGGAGATGACGGAGGGGAAAAATGAGCTGATACCAAGGGCTCAAGTAGAAAGATAGTGTTTTGCAAATGATGATGGCAACATATGTTCAAATGTATTTGATACAATTGATGTATAGTTTGTTATGAGCTGTAAGAGCCCCCAATAAAATGATTAAAATTTTAAAAAGAACTAAATGAACACATCCACTTGTGGCGTTTCTGTTGTAGCAGCACTAGAGAGCTCTGCAAAGAGAAAGGCCCTCAAGGAGATGGACTGATACCGAGGTGCAAACACAGCACAACTGTGAGGATGGTCCAACCCACCCCACTAGCAAAACGGGCTTCGTAAAGTGCTCTTCTTATGACTGCCTGACTGTCCTCACTTTCCAATTAAAACGCAATCTTCAGGTTCCCTCCTCAGGATGATACCAATCGTCATTTCTATATATTGATATTGCAGCCACACTAAACTGATTATGACTAATGGCTGGTCCCAAAATTGGTATCATGCCTTTCATGCCTCTAGGCCCCATGCTCAAATCATCTCTCAAATGCAAATACCCTTTCCCTGACTTTACTCCAGTTTAAAACGCCACCTCCTAACTGAAAATGCTGCTGGATTTCCCACAGGAATCAATCATCTGCTTCGCCGTGTTTCTACAGAACTCTAACCTGCCCAAGTATTTTCTCACACTAACCTTTTTATTTCGTTGAGTTTGAGTTTCCCACAACACAGTAACTTCCTTAAGAGTAGGGCTGTGTTGGAATGCAAGTGCTCAGGAAAGTGTCCAAGCACTGCAATCTTAAAACTGGCTGCAGAGACGGAACATACCTGCTGGCAGCTCTCGGAAGCGCAGATATTCCATAGACCGTGTGGTCACAAGTGGCTTTTGAGGATAATAGAGAACGTGGGCGAGTGTGTCCATGCGAACGTGGAAATTGGTGATATAAACTCCCATAGCTTGCTTACCCATAGCAGACTGGTATGTGTTTCGAGGAGACTAATGGCAGAAGAGAAAAGCAGAATCAATGAAACCCTAATTCCCACAAGGAAAAGACCCCACAAAAAATTACATTCACCACAAATGCAGGAGGTGAGGAGCTTGGGGGGGTTTCCCTTAAAAATAAGTAATGATCGTTTGACATAATCAATCATGACTTTAGAAACAACCCAGTGCATGTCAAATCCTGATTCTGCAGACGTACATCGTCTTTTCATTAAAAGACTTCCTCTTGGGAAGAGATCACAGATTAATCTTTGGTTTTCTCTTTTATTTACAGATCAAAAGATACAATGTGTTACCAACCTGGTTGTGGTCTGGAAAGGGAATAATAGATGCACAGACACCAAGGATCATTGAAGGGTGAATCTCACAATGCGTGTACGTGGAACAATATGCAACTTCTTTCTCCTGTAAATCATCCGGGGTCATTGCAAGCATCACTGTTTCTTCTTCTAGGGTATCGATATATTCTACTACCCCACTGGCCACAAGATCTTGCCAGCTTGGGGGGGAAAAAAAAACAAAAACTCTATTTTCTCATTTTCTAATTAATGCCCTCGGCCACCTAATTTAAAAAATACTCTTAACTTGTGTGCACTAATGTGGAAAGAGCTCTAAAATATATTATTCCTAACAGTGGAAAAATTAAACAACTAAACTAAACATTAAAAAAACTAAACAACACATATAAACTATGGTCTCATAGCCAATATTATTAGCTTGTTTTGCTTTATTTTAAAGAAAACGTATTTGTATGTGAAAGGTGAGCATAGAATACAAAATAAAATTGATATATTCCAAAATGTTAATAGCACTTACTTTTGAACAAGGGAGTCTGAATTTGTAGATTATACAAATTTATATTAGATGTTTGAATTATTTTACAATAAAAGTGTACATATGCACACAGCAATAAAATAAAATTTGCAGGTTCAATTTATTATTAGATTTCTTACTATGTTTTAATAAGTCACAAAGACTTCCTTAGCAAATCCTTACAAATCTCTCACTTGATAACAACAAAAATAATCACAGAAAACAAACGTGACTGCAAATGGCCATGAACTCGTGGTGAAAATGTCATAGAATAGTAGCATAACCTTGTTAGTACACTGGAAACCACTGCACTGCATCCTTTAAACTGTAAATTCTATGCTATATGAATCATCTCAATTTTTTTAGTGCACACATGTTTCTCAGTGCAAGTTCTTACCTGTAATTGTTATACTCTCTCTCTTTCAACTGGTCAATATGCCTCTTCTTCAAAAGTAGCTTTTGTTTCTCCACAATCAGAAGTGGTCTACAAATACGGCCTGCATCTGTGTAGATACGAATCTCCCTCTCTCGAATATCTCTGATCATAGAAACCTATACATAAAAAGACAAAACAGTCTCATAAAATTCTGTGTTCTCCATACCATTCAAGCTTATCTAAAAATATACTAAAATTACTGATAAATTTCAGGACCAACCAATTATCAAATAAGATGAGCAAATCAGTTTAACATTCTAGAAACTATAAATTATCTTGACCCTTTATGATTTTTTACAATATTTTATTGTGTTTTTGGTGAATTTACACAGCAAAATAGGTTCCCATTTAACAATTACTACACAAATTGCTCAGTGATAGTAGTGATGTTTTTCATAGTCTGTCAACATTCTGGTTAACTGCAGTCTACTTTTCAAATCCAGCACAAGGGGGGGCTTCAAAAAGTTCATAGAAAAATTTTAATATCTTTTCATTTCATTTATCTGTGAACATTTGGAAGCTCTCATACAATGTCTTATACACCAATCAAGAAATGAATTGCCAAAAAAACACAAAAGAAATGAATTGCCAACTAAAAAAAGAAAGAAATTAAATGCCAATGAACTGGAAAACTGAAAGAGTGGTTGATATTTCCCCCAAAGTGTACTTTTCAAAAGTATTTGGGACCGTCTATTTAAGAGTTGGAATTACTTCATAAAGGCAAGGATTTGGGCTACTTAGCTTAAAAATAACAACAAACAAACAACAACAAACCATGAAAACGGTAAAAAGCAGCAAATTTCCTAAAAGCAGAGTCAAAAGCCAAGATAGAAAATCTTTCAAGTTCCTGGTCCATTTCCTTTCCCCAGAAAGCAGTCAAATGAGTACTGCCTATGAAGCAAAATGCCATGCATTGTGTTATACAGTCCCAGAAAAGGCACTGCTTCCAAACGCTTTCCCTGAATCCTTAAAGAGCAAGCCTTCCTATTAAAATCTAATTCGCTGGTCTTAACCCAGTGGTTCTCAACCTGTGGATCACAACCCCTGGGGGGGTTGAATGACCCGTTCACAGGGGTTGCCCAATTCATAATAGTAGCAAAATTACAGTGATGAAGTAGCAACGAAAAAAATGTCATGGTTGGGGGTCACCACCATATGAGGAACTGTATTAAAGGGTCGCGGCCTTAGGAAGGTTGAGAACCACTGTCTTAACCAAACCAAAAACCCAATTCCCTGCCAAGGAGTCAATGCTAACTCCGAGTGGCTCTATAGGACAGGCTAGAACTGGTCTTCTGAGTTTCTGAGAATGGAATTCTTTACAGGAGTAGAAAGGCCCATCGCCCATCCGTCTTTCTCTCGCAGAGTAGCTGGTGGTTTTGAACTGCTAACCTAGCAGTTAGTAGCCCAATGGGCTCCTCTGAATCCTTAAAAAACAAACATCCCTAATAAAATCTAATTTGCTTGACTTAGCAGAAATATTTGAAATGATCTGTGTCTCCTCCATGGCCAAATGGCATCCTCATTCTGAAGAAACCAGCAAGCTTCATTCAGCAGCTCAAGCTACCTACTGCCAGGACAGCTATGGAACAACTCCACCCAGAGACTAAATTTATGAAAAGGCTCCTAGGTTCTAAAGAGTACTATACTTCTTATTAAAAACAAACAAACTACACACAAGCTTCCCATTTAGAGGTTCCCCAAATCACTCTACAATAAATTATTTAAAGCCCAAGGACATAGGGTCCATTAAAGTTTTGCAATAATGGCCTACTACATGTTGGGCACTGTAGCCAAAGCTGAAAATGCTAAGTCTCTTTCAGACACAGTCCCTGTGGTGAATGGGGGAGGGAGACAAATCAACAGTTACAAAGTGGTAGCAGTAGTCTACGAGAGGTATGTAAGTTACCCCTGAGTCAAAAACTAGGGCCTCCATCAAGCTCAGAAGCAACAAAGCCCACATGGAAGAAGCACACCAGCCTATGCAACCACGAGGTGTCGAAGGGATCAGGTGTAAGGCATCATCAGAACAAAAAATCTTACCATAGTGAATGATGGGGGGAGTGCGGAGTGGAGATCCAGAGCCCATTGGTAGGCCACTGAAGATCCCCTTGCAGAGGGGTCTCGGGGAGGAGATGAGCCAGTCAGGGTGCGATGTAACAATGATGAGAAATACAACTTTCCTCTAGTTCCTAAAAGTTTCCTCCCCGCTCCCACTACCATGACTCGAATTCGATCTTGCAAGTCTGGCTAGACCAGAGGAGGTACACTGGTACAGATGGGAACTGAAAATACAGGGAATCCAGGATGGATGAGCCCTATAGGACCAGTGGTGTGAGTGGCAAAACAGGGAGGGTAAAGGGAGAATGGGCAGGAAAGAGGGAACCGATTACATGGAACTGTGTGTGACCTCCTCCCTGGGGGACAGACAACCGAAAAGTGGATGAAGGGAGACGTCCGACAGGGCAAGATATGACAAAATACCCATTTATAAACTATCAAGGGCTCATGCGGGAGGGGAGAGCGGGGAGGGAGGGGAAAAATGAGGACCTAATGTCGGGGGGTTAAATGGAGAGAAAATGTTTTGAGAAACGATGTACAAATGCGCTTTACACAATTGATGTGTGTATGGATTGGGATAACAGTTGTATGAGCCCCTAATAAAATGTTAAAAAAACAAAACAAAAAAACTAGGGCCTCTCTGCTTGAGGAAGGATTGGAAGAGCCAAACTAAACTTCATTAGGTCTAGAAGGGCCCAGTTACTGCATAAGCATGTTACAATTTCCCTCCAAATCTATTTTCATTTAGGCAGGCTCCAAGTCCCCAAACACTTCAATATTTAACTAAACATAAAACAAAACTATTATAGATATATCACATTTCATGAATGAAAACAAAGAATAAATCAAATTGGATTATTCCCTTTTAAAAAGCACTCTCAGCTTTAAGATTTAAAATTATTTTAAAAATCCACAATCCCTACCTAATTCACAATAAAAAAAACTCATTAAAAGAAAGTAAGAATTTTTTTTTTGAGTTCTAAAAGTACATGTCAAAAACTTTAAAAGTATAGCTAAAGCATTAAAGCAAACAATACTTAAAGTAATGTGATGCATAACATCTCCTCAGGTACATCCAACCACATGTATGTTCATGGTTCCAACCCCCATAAAACTTATTATATTAAAAGTTCCAGATGTACACAATTGTTCATAGTAACATACATTGAAACAACATAATTATGATGTTAAAGATATTTTAGTGTGTCTAGAAATGTTTCCTTAATATTTCTGATGCATAAAAAGGTACCCACTCACTGCCACTGGGAAATCACAGAACTGTTTCTTCTGGTTTCCAATACAGTACAGTGAACCCTCGTTTATTGCGGTTAATCGGTTCTAGACCCTACTGTGATAAATAAAATTCCGCGAAGTAGGATTCCTTATTTGTAAATCAAATATTTTTGTAGTTAGAGCATAGAGGACATGAAAAAACACCCTTTAGTCACCATTACATTCATATTACCCAATTTATTAAACGAAAAAGGGAAAATAC